ATCCCACGGTCGAGAGTACGCCCCAGGCATTCCTATCCTACTTCTGCTTCTGATCGCGCTTATTTGCTGTGGTGGCCTCTCCCAGGGAGAGTGTAGATAAACAAAGGAAGGTAGGTGCCCAAGCGTCAGGCTTTGTGAGACTAAGCTTTGTCTGGCTTCTACATGTTGGCCTTTCAGGCATGATTAGATGTACGGCCGTGAAAAGCCATCATGAGTGGCTTTCAGGGTCATGGAGGCACGCAAGTCATCACACCACGTCAAGGTGGAGTCTCATCGTTGTGGCGACATCTCCCTTGGCCTCATGTGATTGACTCGTCTGGTAAGTGGGACGTTTTGGGCACTCAGGACTCGGTAATTCCTATCCGAAACGTGTAATCCAACCGACTGGACACCAAGTCGCGTACTCGAAACACGACGGGTGAGGCGGTTCCACTGGAAGGTCGGTAGGAAGTCCCTGAAATCAAGCCCCCCCCTCACTCCTCGCTACTGTGGTTTTAGTAGTCCAGTAATACCGTGACTCACAAGACTGCTATTACCATGGGCACGAACAAGCGCTCTGTAGTACTATCTATTTTTCGCTTGCCTCAGTTTTTTTAAAATTATTTACTGGGTTAGCACTTCTTGTTTCAGATCCTTGATGAACGCTGGACCAGAGGAAGCGGTCATGCTTGATTGTTCCAAAATGCACATCTTCACATACCTTCTTCACGCAGGAAATAAGTTTTCCAGTGACCGTTATTATTGTAAACGGTCGACCACGGCGTTTTTGTCAATGATTTAAAAAAAAGAATAATTGCTTGCGTCATCACTGTCTAGTACCGTGGTATTTTCTGTTTCGTTACTCACGTGTGTCCCTGATCCCATTTGAGTTGATTTACGCTTATTACCAAAGTCACCACAGTTGGTTATTGCTCTAGCTCTATGTAGATTGAAGCAATCCCGTCATTCACTTCACTCCATCCGTTGCGCGTTATCTCACTTGACGCACATATCCTCTTTTGTTCCAGTTTCTATCTCCTGTCTTTTCTAGTGCTCGTGGTGGCATCGTTCTACCTGCTCACCACATTTCTCTGGGGTTTGGTCTGTGGTGTGGCTATTGTCTACGTTTATCTGCTAATTCGATCCGGGATTCGGGGTGATGCGGATCTGACCGGTTCGACAAAATGTCCCATATCTGGCTCACCGCTGAGCCAGTTCTGTTGTTCTCTGCACAACCAAATAACAAAGGGTGTCGGTATCAAGGACATTTGGTGGCCAATATACGCACCGGCGTTACCCTCACTAAACGCGACAACAACGGTACCGCAACTTCGTGACTTGCAGTCGTTGTCCGTGCCGCATATGAATGATGAAGATCCCAGTACTTCTGCCGCGAGTGGACCATTGGGCACCGGTTTGGGTTTCAAATTGGACAAGAGTGAGCGTCCAGTCTACAAAGGTTGGATGAACGAGGTTTGTATCTGGTGTGGCCTACAACCGACTGATACGTTTGCCCTGCATGCCTATGGCCGGATTGATTGATTGATTGACAGATGCTGCCTGTTACCACACACGCACGCATTCACACCATGCGGACTGACTCTATTTGAATATCGATCGGCTCTAGCCAATTAGATGTTAACATTGGACTGTGCGCGTTGATTGATTCGTTGACTGTTTGTATGCCTGCTTGACCGCATACGGATGTTGTGTGACACGTCAGCCAGTTGTTGCCCTGTCTGCCTACGTGTTGCCCGCTCCGGCATGCTCATCGGTTTAAGAACCGGCTACATGTGTGCCCACTACAATAAGCGTCCTGTTTAGTTCACTGAATTCTTATTCACCTACTTATCCGGGACACAACAGTACCATTGATATCGAACGCAAGTTCGCTGTGCCCACTTAGTTAATATCCACCACGAACCAGGATCTTTTCATTATCAAGTCCTCGCATACTTTCACAACAATCGTATCCGTGAAGACGTGCCACGTCGATGAAGCCCCTTATTTGGCGTGGCTCAGTGTAGCACATTCCCGAACTTCCCCAGTTGTTTTCTCGTGACCGCATACTGTTTTGGTCGTTTCTTATTCGGCTCATACGACACAATCAGGATGTATGCTGCTCACTTATACTTTAATTTTAAACCTCTCATCTGCACTGTTGTACTGTAATACAATAATTGCACACACCTTAGTTTGATGAACAGCAGACGGAGTAAACCCCATAGTATCGAAGACCCGCTGTTCGGTGATAGAAACCGGCAACCTAAGCTCCAGGACTTGGAGTGGCGAACCGCATAAGGCCTCACTAGGTTAGGTGTGGCATGTCGTTTCCAGTAGTAATGGGAAACGGTGTGAGAGAGGTTTGCTTTTTTCGGAGAACAATTTTAAAGCGTATGGTTATTTTGTCATTGAATGCCGCATAACTTAAGGAGCATCGCACGGTTGTTGTGAAATCATCAGTAACGCCGGATTCGAACCCGAGCATGTAACCATGGTTATCGAAAATAGACGACGACAATCCACAAAACAGTACACGCATCCTTATGTGACGCTCTGGGATAGCAAAAGAGGAATAAATGAGCTGTTGTCCCCTAGCGAAGATCTAATGACCTTAGGCTTTTTATACTGACATTATATCAGATCAGAATTGAGACCCGAAGACCATTTCTGGAACGCATTTGTTTTGTAGCAGTAGGTGATCAAGTGTACGAATTGGCGCTTAGCAATGATTGTTGCCACATTAGTGCTACGGTTATTGCCCCATCACATCGAGACTGCACCTTGATGTAGTGTGATGCTTTGCGTGCCTCCATGATCCTGTGAGCTCAGGATGGCTTTTCACCGCCGTAGATCCAGTGATGCCTGAAAGGAAAACGGGTAGAGGCCAGACAAAGCTCAGTCTCACAAAGCCAGCTACTTGGGCACCTCTTGGCCTCCTTCTATCCACACCAGCCCAGGAGAGATCACTCCAGCAAATAAACATGGTGAGGGGCAGTTTATCAGTCAAAAGACACCGTTAGATGAACTTAGGAGCGGGGTAACTGGGGTTTTATTTCGACGGTGGGGGGAATCTTCGCACTCCAGCTACCGCTCGCTCAAGCTGGGCAGCCCCCAGACAGTAAGGTGCAGTCCCGTCCACGTTCCACTTGTCTCATTGGGTGCATGAGGTTAAGGGCCGAGCCCGAAAAGCGGATCTACAATCAATGCACAGTCAACACAGTTAGTCAAAACCCGGAGACCTTGAGTGACAGGTCTCCAGAAGCTCCCACACGGGTGCTTCGGTCACCCTCCCGCGTTGGATTTACGCTCCACGCTTTGTGAGTCAGACTCTTGAGTCAAAGCTCCGATTAATGTTCCCTAAGAAAAAAAACCCTCGTCGGTGTGGGCTGCCGCGAAGTATGTCGTGCCCTAAAGTCTTAGGCACCCATTTGGAGAAATCTCTTTCGCATCTGTCTAGCTCTTCCTCTCCCCTCAAGTGTTACTGTTTGATTGATTCAAATCTGTCACCCTCCAGTCTAAATCACACCTAGCACTCAGTAACCGTTAGAATCCCTCTATTGGATTTCTGTAACAGTCCGGGGTTGTTCGAGTCAGTCGTGTTAGAATTGGATTACACTAGTTCTCTCAGTTTGATTTGTCCAATTCGACTTCAGCACAAATATGTAAACACGCACGCGCACACACACACACGTAATATTTTTGTCCCCTTTCTCTCGTCCCTATTTGACCGCCTTCACACTGCCTTTTGTTTTTTCCCCCTTTGTTGTCGCATAGACCAACAACTACGATCCGGAAACACATCATGTGAGTCAGACGCACTCGGTATTCGTTACGCTGGACGGAACACAACTTCGTTTGCAACGGCCCCGTCGTAATATTGCCCGTAGATCGATGTGGAACGAGGAATTGCCGTCGATCACCACGATGCGATTCCAACAGCAACGCATTTTCGACTTGGTTCACGCGCGTGTCACCCTACTCCCGACCGGTTTGGTGTTGAAGAGATTGTGGAGTAAAAAATATCCGATTGCGATCACTATCCCGAAAAAGGTACAGCTATTTCTATCAATAATAATCATTCTTTCAAACGTTTATTTGATATACAACTTAGTTACCATCAGTACTCTACAACAGGATCAGAAGAAAAGGGAAAGTAGAGCGACGCTGTTCAAACTCACGAAATATGGTACGATATGATGGGATGGGATAGAATGGAATGATAGCCAATCATGTTCGACTAGTGCCCTGTGTCGTTTTAAATTCCCTCCTGTTTTGTTTGTTTGAATCGATTTTTCCGCAACAAAATTGCATCAGACATACCTTGTCGTGGCTAAAAATAATACACTCAAACAATTTATCATAACAATCAACTGACTACTTTATTCCCCCCTCCGGGGAGAGGAGGCAGTTCCCCACACTCTTGGTTAATTGTCGCCTAAATTGAGTCCGTACTTCGCCGTAGTTGAAAAACTCTCACACTGTCTTGTCCTATTTAAATTGGACTTCATTCATCGATTTTTCCTCCTTTACATAATGCAAACCAACGCGGTGCAATTTGGTTATCCAGTGATAGAATAAACTATCTGGATGTGCCTTCCCCCATCTCACACGGTTAACATCTCATCTCGGTGGNCCCCCCCCCCGTCGTCCTGTCTCGCCCACCGTGCTATTCGATTGATTTGATTTGGACAAATGCAGGCTTGATAATGATGATGATGATGAACTAGGGAACAGAAAGTGGTTCGTTTTTCGCTGCATAGTTTCATTCACTCTTTGTTGTTTCAAGTGACCGTTTGGATTTATGTGCCCCTATCCGCTTCTATAATTCCCGCCGACTTGTTGCACGATAATCGCAGTTGAATAGCCTCTCTCTCTTTGAATACACATTCCCATTTAGGTTATGAGTTGCAGCGTAGTAATAGTCCCAACGAATTGTTTTCTCTAACTACGTTTTGATTCCCTGTTCGATGCATGCTCATTTGAGGTTTGAATCATACATCACTCGGTTTTTTTCGTCGTTTCTTCCGGGAATCTTGCTTCCCACGCAGTCGAAGAATAGCCCAGGTTCACGTCCAAGTTTACCGTCTTCCACAAGTGTTCCAAATATGACCTCCTCAATCACCCAGCCTGCATCGCCTGAGCAGACCGGTTCGGATACCCCATCCCGATCACGTTCACCCACACCGGCTAATGGAAGTGACGTAGTGGATGATTTCACTATGATTTCACGTCAGGATTTACCGTCCGAAACGTTGTACCTATTCGGTCGCACGTGTCGTGAGAAAGAGACCTGGTACGCTCGGCTACGTGCGGCTTCTTTGGGGATTCCTCTCCTCTGGACACCGCAACTGGTAAGTTAACTGTTCAGTATTTGAAGGGTGAGATTCGTCGTATATATGATGAATGAAGCGTGAACTAAAAGGTTAGGAAGCACTGGACAGCTGTTTCGACCTGGTTTGGTCTCATCAGTAGTGCGAATCCATCGACCTAACTGGGGATCGAATCCGGGACCTCACGGGCAATACGCAAACATGGTACCCACTCAGCCACCGGGCAGCTGATCAGACCGTTTTTCAATATTTGCCCGTCCGTGTTTGCGTCGATTTGGGCAATGTGTCACCTAGCTGCTTTGCCCACTTTTGCTGCTTCCTGATGACAATATTTCATCGATCAGAAGACGCTCTGCAACACGGGTGAACTTCGGATTTAGCTGAGTTTCGATGGTGGTGGCGCAGTGGTTTAATCACTGTCACCGGCGTGTGGCCCGAGGTTCGAACCCCACCACCGCCACCTGACTTTGGTGGTAGGCAGCTCTGCTGTCGTCCGGTTCAACATCACGCCTAACCTATCGGAGCCTTATGTGGTTCGCCACTCCGAGTCCCAGGGCTTAGGTTACCGGTTTCCACCACTGAATAACAGGTCCTTGTGACTATGGGATTTATCCCGTCCGCTGTTCATCACACTAAAAAAGTGTGTAATAAAAAAGTTACCTGCCTAACAGTTCGGATTGTCCTTCCACAACTCATCAGTGGGAAAAGAAAATTAGTTGGTAATCTATCTATGTCAGTGCTCCAACGCTGCCGACTATACTGTTGCATATGAGTTTTAATTTTTCTCGAACTCTAATTGTCATCCGTGCTTATTATTGGAAAGTTACCACTTTCTAGATGAATGACATAAATAGATTGTTGTTTGAATCAAAACAAAAAACCTAGAATAGGTCTTCTGGTAAAAGGCACAGAGTAACAAGTTTGATCGAAATTACATGAAGGGTTCTAACTAGCGTTATAATCCATCTGTTGTCTCCTTCGTGTGATTATACAAGTGCGATACTGTGTTTTGTCTTGCACTTGATTGAGGCCGTGTCGGGCACATTTTCATCCTTCGTGAAATTCTGGACCCACCCTGGTATTCTCGTTTACAAATAGCCAACAGTGTTATTGGACTGATGTACGGCTGTTTTTGCCCGAACTCACCACTAAAACCGTTGCTCACCAGAACTCTTTTTTCTCAGTTTTTCATCGCATATCGCTCTGGATAGATATCTTCCTGGGCCACAAGTTGTTCGATCTGGTGGAATGCACAGATGCAATGTTACTGCTGAGCGAAACTGAGTTGCAGGCTTTTCTGGGAAGTTTGAGTATCCGGACTTGGCACATATTTTGTGCCCTTGAAATGCAAAATTCGGGATTGGGTTAGCACAGCAACCGGTAAAATAAACATTTTTACCGTTCGGGTGGGTTCATCTGCCCTAGCGGACGAATCTCGAGTAAAGTATCGATACAGAAACGGGAAAGTACGATCGATGTTTAACAACTTGATACGTTCTTCACAGAGACAAGAAATTCGATCGACCATTAAGGGTTGAATGCATACTGCAGACAATATCGCTACGGATGAGCGAATCTCGCAGTTGCTATCGGTGTTCAGGCAGTTGTTTATACGTGTCATTTCACGTGTTTGGTAAAGCAAATCGACCAAACGATACTGATGTGAAGCGAAAAAGGATTGGTTAATCACAATTGCACACTATCGCAAGGAGCCCGACAATCATCGATTGCGTTGGTTCATGCATTAATTAACCGTGTCACTGCATAGATATCCTTCGTCAGCATGCAATGTTTGCTGCGACATGTAGTGGTGGGAGATGGTAAAAAGTGGTCTGACTGCTCTGGCACATCGAGGAGGGACAGGCATGCGAATTCCGACCGGGCTATCTTGTCAGTCAAAATAGCGTTAGGTTTCCTGTTTTGGCAGCCCGTGATTAAATTAATTGACTGAAGTGTATGCATATGCAATTACACAATGTATACATTGTTTTCCACAGCTATTGTCGTAGCTGAATTTTGTGAGCAATGATGCTATACATTTACTCACTGACTTCAATAATCTCTAATTTCCTAATCTTGTCCTGATTGTTTGGTGAAGTGGGTAATGAAATGTAGGTGGTTAAATCCCGAACGTCGTAGTCAACTGTCCACATTTGTATAAACCGTCAATACAAATAAACTAACCAAAAACACTGGTTCTTACAATTTGTATCCTCTGGTTTCATCAATTGTTGTTTCTTTCAATAACATATTTGTGATTGAAGGGACAGACCCCACTTCCTTTAACACGTACGTCTCTCGCTATTGACAGGCAGTACAGACGTATTTAGCCGCATCAGCTGGCACAAACTCGTCCACTACGGCCGGCGGGACAGTTCCAACCGGAGATAATCGAAGCGATGATGAAAGTGTTCCGGAGAAAGAGAACGCATCCACTGTCTCCTCCTCGGACGGTGGGACGAGCAGTATCGACCGAGCTGGTTCACAGTTGCCCATCCCCGGAAGTCGCGAACCGTTGTATGTCACCTATGTGCGATACATGGCCAAATATATGCCTGCCTCGTGGTTGTTACGTGGCACACAGGCGTTACGTTTGAATGTGAACTATGTCTCGTGTGAACCACATGTGCTGTGGTTGAACGCGCTCCTGGCCCGAGTGTTTTGGGATTTTCTGCGCGAAGTCTATTGGTTGGAACGTGTCCGGGACAAGATTCAAGCCAAATTGAAGAAGATTCACGTAAGCTATTCCTTCCTTCCCACTGTGTGTGTGTGTTCATGCGAATTTCGTTGGGGGGGGGGTCATGTCCCTCAGGGATTGCCTGATTAAATTTGTTTTTACCCCGCGGTCGGAACATATACATACAAACATACATACATACATACAATGCATGTGCGCTCTGAGACAAAAAGAATACGACATCTTTCTAGTTACTTTAGGGGAGGACGTGTTTTACCACCCTGTGTATCATCAATCCCATTTTTTCGCCATATGAATATGAACCCGATGAACAACCGGCATACTAAAATTTATTTGCTTATCGCCGTCTTCGACGACAATATACCAAAGAAATCGCCAGTCTCAATGTGATTTAAGTGATGTGCTCCGAGAACTCTCTGCACTCTTCCTCAATGGGTTTTGATGTTTTGTTCTTGTGTTCGGTCCCACACGGCTGCACCCTGATGACCGTGACCCACGTCACTCACGCAGTTCAAATGGATCTACCGAATTTCTTTCGATGCTCTGGGTTTACTAATATCGAAAAATCGACGCCTTTCACGAGGTCAAATACAGCAGCAGATGTGAATAGCACTTAAGTTGAACGTTACGAGGCGAACAGTAAAAAGAACATGCTAAACTAACCTGTGGATAGCGTACAAGCAAATGAAAGGGTGCGTGCAGGTTTATTAATTTTGCAGCGAGAAAAAACGTCCACTGTGGACGGAGATTCATGTAACAGAGAGGGAAAAAGCGAGAGGATTTTCATTCATTTTGATGACAAAACGAAGTTCTTCATCGAATAATGTCATCAATAACGTTTTAGGCAGTGAAAGAGAACAGCTTGACAACGCTATTATTGACTAATGTCGATAACACTATTATATTATATATTGTTACATATTATCATGTATTGCATATTATATTTTGCGTAACACCTTGTTCATTGATTTTTCGAATAAATCCTAATGTTTAAGAGTAGCAACTTTGTAATAATCCACTCGATTGTTCACAGGCACCAGGCACTGTTGGTGTGGGTTCCACTCGTTGGAAGATCGTTAATTTCCCACTAGTCGAATGCGTTTATTAGCGATAGAGAGATTTGTGATGATCGACAAAGAGCACTGAACAGCTGTTTCGTCCTGTTTGTTACTCGCCAGCAGTACACACTCCTTGTCAGGACTCGAACCTCCAAAATTCAGGCCGGGACTCCAAACCCTTAACCCTAAGCTACACGGTCGACGGTCATCACTTTGTGCGAATGGTTTATGCAATTCAGAGTATTAAATTTGGAATAATCCGTCATCACTGCCAGTTGCGTGTGAACAATCGAATGGACTATTCCAAGTTTATATAATATCTAACAGGCAAAATGTTCGATGAAACAGTTCCATTTACCACTTCTGCGAACAGTTGGTTCCGAACCACACGGTTAAACAATGCGCATTAGTTCAAGCCAACCTCCACCCGTTCTGGTCGGAAATATGCGTACGACTCTCGTCCTATTTGTGTGTGTATGTTGGCGAGACAATCNGATCGCCTTGACAATGGCCTCATGGTTCATTGTCTCCTCCATTCACTGTTCTCTCGCTATCTCTGTTTGTTAGATCTCCGTGGCTGTCCATCGGACTGGTGCTATTCTCGTTCCTCGCCCCGCCCACACTCGTGATTACCAACTGTTTATAGTTTCTTATGGGCAATTTTAGTCGTTAGTCATCTGTAAACAGTGAATTTGCTGCATTTTACTACCCAAATAAACCGGTCCGCCGAATCCACCGCCCTCTCTCTTTTGCGCTGCATGTCTAGATTGGCAGGAAACGTAAAATTATCGATAGAAGCTATGTATGGCTTAGTCACTTCTAATCTATAGTGAATATGCCTACCCAATAGCATTAATGGTACACACTGTGTGTAACCGAGCTCTCTCTCTCCTGCTTCATTTTCCCCCGTTTCTTTTTCAATTTTAACTTCTTTTTATTGAATACATTAGAATAACATTTTCAGGAAGGAGAAAGCGGCCAATCACAGGGCTGCCATACAACACACAAAGAATGAAAAAGCTAGGCAGTGGTGATGTTAGGATGGTTGTTTCAGAAACATTTCATCACCGGCCGAGGCGACAGGTTTTGTTCATTCTTTTTGATCGGTTTCTCTCCGTCGATGTAGTAGTTCATTATTCCCATGGTTCTGATCTCGGTTCACACATTTGAACTAGTACAACGGAACTCTGGTCCGCTCGTGACATGACCTCTTATTGTTGCGTCATCTCTTTCTCCTTCCCTGCTCGCATACACTCATATAACTAGTCTTCTTTGATCGATCCTTAGAAAATCCGGCTAAGGCGCTTACTTACAGTTTAGTTCAGTTCAATTTGTTAAACCAT